CTGCTGATAGGCATCAATCAATTTTATATAATTAATTCAAACTTAGGCCAAACATAAATAAAAATCGTGTCATGTTGTTCATCGCAATACTCCTCTCAAAGGGTTTGACCGATTTTTATGAAATTTTATTAGCACGTTCAGTATGACTGAGAATTGACATTCATATATTTTTTTATAAGTCAGTATTAACACTTACAGCACTATATCTGTACCCTTCCATCATAAATCCCTATACCGTAATAGTGATTTTAGTAATCGCATAATTTTTCATTTTGTTTATAGTCAATGAATGTTTTTTATTGAATTTTGATTAAGATTTTCTGAAACTTATACAAAAGCTTAAACTTAGCTTAAAAAAACATTATTAATTAAGAATTTTTTTATCTTGTACTTCTTTGTTGGGTCCAATTTTTTTATTTACATTTTTTATAACATGTAATTTAAAAACACTCAAACCCTAAATTTTCATCTTCCTATCTTACACCACTTTTTCATAATTGTCATTTTAATAATCACATATTTGAATCTCCCTCTTTCATACATATACATCAGACAGTGAATGTTTTCATTGGATTTTAATTCAGATTTTCTTGAACTTTTCGAAAAGCTCAAATTTTACTTCAAAAAGCATTATTGGGTTGTTTTTTGTCTTTGTTGCCTTTTTTATATTGTATATTAATAAATTTTATTTTAATTTATAATTATGCGAAAATGAAAAATACATGTGAATCTAAATTTTCACCTTCCTACCACAAATCCCTATTTTATAATAATCATATTTGTAGTCTATTCATTTTTCATCAAGCTCGATATCTGATCAGTTGTATAGCTAGGTTCTCTGGGTTAGCTAAAATTATATATATATATATATATATATATATATGTGTGTGTATTCTAGTGTATATACATTATATTACCACATATAAATTTATATGTGGTAATATAATGTATATACACTAGAATACACACACACATACATATATATATATATATATATATATATATATATATATTTGTAATTTGTATAATTTTAATTTTCAGTTAAACTGTATGGATGAAAAGACTATTTTAAAATAGTCTTTTCATCCATACAGTTTAACTGCATTTCAATTGATAGAACTACAATAACTTGCACCTAATCCCACCCACCTATACATACATATAATCCCGCCACAATACCTTTCACCATTTAAAAATATGTATTAGTAAAAATAATTAAAAAGCCTTTTAACCAGAATTGGAATGCAAACATACATCTAAATGTAAAGTTTTAAAACCTCTTAAAATGTTTGAATTAATAAAATTGAGAAAACAATAAATAAAACATTAATTATATTTTTTAAATTAAAATAATGTATTATATTTGTAATGATGTCATAAATATGCTAGTTTCCATATACAGATTATGCAAACCGCATATTTATTATCCCAATCAATTTTATTACAACAATGTTGTTAATCATATTTATATAGCAGAATTAATTTTAAAATATTAACAAGATTTCATAACTATAAGTAATAATTACTTTTATTATATAAAGTCGTTTACTTTCATTTTTATGATTACATTACATTCAGCAATGTGCCTCAGTACAAGTAATAAAAGAATATTGTAATTTATATTACAAATTAATATAACCAATAAATTATATATATATATATATATATATATATATATGTGTGTGTATATATAAGAGAAATAAGTCCTGATTTATTACTTTGTCTTTGTGTTACGAGAAGGAAATCCAAATTAAAATAAGATGTTTGTGGAAAACAGCTTTTATTTTCGTGGTTTGAAGTTATATTTTAATGAACAATAATATATGTTTTTTCATGAAACTAGCAAGTAAATAAGTTAGGTTTATCAATTTTATAATTACAAAAAATATTTAATATCATGTTGTTAGCGGCACCAATCCAATCTTTCAATTTTCTCGTAATTTCATTTCCTTATTGTTTTGTTCATTATATTACAAAAATATTTTATTTTCAACAAGAAACCTAAAGATGGAATATGTCTTGTTTTGAAATGTCGAAAATAAATACTTATAATCAAAAAACATTTTGTTTCAATTTGGGTTACCTATTCAGAACAGAAACATATATATATATATATATATATATATATATATATATATATATATATATCGGACCATTTATCAAAATAAAATTCTTCATTAATTTATTCAAATAATATATATAACATTATCGATATTGTACATATATTATCATAGATAAATGTTATTATCTAAAATAAACATTTTGTATTGTATTTGATTTTAGATCATAATTTTTATCACACAATGATGTCATTGCATTGAATAAACCTGTTTCATACTTCAGTTTTCCAATTATTGTATCAATTTATTTGATACTGCTTTCTTTATAATATGGTCCTTTTGTTTCTGCAATTATATATATACATATATGTCTGTATGGTTCAATGTATATCTAATGTAAACTGAAAGAACAAAATCTCCTTTTCTCCACAAAAGTTGCACTGTTAAAAATATTATTGCTCTTAAACTTATTTATCTTCAATATTTCACCGTAATGTACAATATTCGTAATAATGTTTTTCAACGAGCTTAATCCAACCTTTAATATATAAGTACTTATTGCCATTTTCTACAAATTTGTATGTTTCACTTATTTTATCCGTATCACAATGACACCCCTGATCTAACCTGTTTTTTGAAACTAAATTATTCAGATTTCTGGTCGATTCCATTGCATAAAATTAATATGTATGTTTTGACACTGACATCACTATTTTAATTTGCATATTGCATATTATTTTATAAGTTTTTCTAATTTACACTTTACTTGCTGTTAACTAGTTAGGTTTTCATAACTTTGTGTCATTTTTTTCAGTCTTATTATAAGATTTTTATTAAATAAACGGACCCTTATGTATAAAAGATTAGTTAGTTTTATTAAAATATTTTACATTAATAGTTATTCATATTCATATCATATTATAGAGCTATATAATTAAAATATAATTGCATTAACATAGGCAGCGCACTGTGACATTTAAAAGCAAATAATTCTCAATAAAAATTCATGAAGAAATAACAACAGTTTTGCTAATAAATTGACGAGAAGATGATAATAACTCATAAATTGTGGTAGAGTGAGTAAATTAACTTAGAACTGAATAACAAATGGAGTACTTAAAGATCACTGTATTTAATACATTTAAAATTAGAAGTTAATAACCCGTAGCAGTATTTCATTTGAATAAAAGTATGCAAAAAAGAGCATATATATATATATATATATATATATATATTATATATATATTTTATATATGTATATATATATATATAAATGTATGTATGTATAAGTAAGTGCATGTAGATAAATCAACAAGGTTTTTGAATTAAAAATAATATTTAAAACAACATAAAATGTCTAAAAAAAACAACACACATATATATATATATATATATATATATATATATATATATATAAATATATGTATATTATACTGAACATTGTTATTGCCACTATGCGGCCACCCATACAGCATTTTTTACGATAAACATTACACATTTAAAATGTTTTTTTTTTTTTGAAAAGAGTATTTATGTAGAACAACCTTTATAACACGATTTTTACAAAAATTATCCTTGGGCCAAACCATTGCATATTTCTTTTAAAAATTTGATTTCATTCGAATTGAAGTCCAACATAACAAAGCAAGATAATGTCAAATTTCAGTACCGATGATATATAGCTAATATTTCAATGTAAATTTGTTAAATAAATATCTCAGTATAGTAATAAATGATTGTCTCTATATTAGAATATAAAAAAATATTGACATAACACAACATCCTAATTCTACAAATATCAGTGAAATTTCAATTAACACGACAAAAACAATTATTGATAAATTAGCTATATAAAATAAATGTACCATCAATTTTGAGCGATTTATAGAGCAATGGCAAACAAGATATAACATATAAAACTATATTACTAATTGGTAAAATTAGTGCCAAATATAACAAATTATCAATGTTAATATATTTTATAACATTTTAGAAACGTAAAGTTTATAATATATATTTTACAATTTATAATAAAATAAAATATTTAAACAATTTAATAAAACTATATAAGCAACATTTCATCAACTGCACTTGAAAACACGAATAAAGAGTTATAGTTTTGAATATTGAACTAAGAATTTTATAATTTCACTTTTCGAAATGTTACTTAATATTAATTATTTTGAAATTTAAAATTATAATAATTGATAATGTGGCAATATTCAATATATATTCATAGTTCAAAATAAATATACATTATGGCAAGCAAGTTTGTGAACACTCACAATATTAGTAACAAGTTTATAAAATAATGTGTAAAATTCGTACAAAATATACACGACAACCACATACCTCCCCTCAATGTCACTATAAATTTTTCATTTAACATAAAGTATATTTGTGTTAAAGTTATGATTTACTAAGATTATTAAAATACTAATAACACTATTTCACAAACTATACATTTATTTTACTATATTCATTGAAAATATGAGATGATGGAAAACGTATAAAATATATACATTGGAATTATCATACTGGCATACTTTAGCAACATATATCAAATGTGTGTATTGCCAAATTCATATGTACCTTGATGAAAATTGTTTGTGTGTGATATTTACTTTATCACTTCCGATGGTTCATCTTTTGTAGTATGACCAATTTCAAATAAAGGCAAACGTTCATACTTATACTTATACTTTGAATAATGTATTAAAAATATTCAATATACCTAAAATAGTATTAATCTTGATTAATCTATCTTTGAGTCTGCACATTTGTACAAATTACGTACGGACACTTTAAATTTACGCTACTATACACCGCAATTAAATATTTTTTACAAGTTCAAAATCAAATAGCACTGAAGGAACATCTCATGTTATCGTTCATTCACAACACTTTCCAGGGTTCTTAATTATACGTATCTATACAAATTCAAACATACACAACATGAGGTCTCACAGGGAGAGGTGGTTTATATCCATTCCCATTGTGTGTGACCAGTTGACGGTAGCAGGCGAGTGAGGGATCATCAGGAGGTCTGGTCATGGTCTGCGTGGATTTGAGGGGTTCCCAGGGTCCGCCGATGGTGTGATACTCGGGCGTTGTACCAGAATGATGGTAACGTTCGAATTTATCGGTCATCGGCGGAGGAGGAGGCGGCGCGTGCTGCGGCGGGCCGTGCCTCTTCTCGCCACGGACACCGCAACAGCGCCGGCAACGATCCGTCGTGCAACCCAGGTAATACAAGACACTACCTATAAATACATACTTAATAAAAAAAAACTTAAATGACATTTAAAATAACTTTGATCTACTGAACAGTTGAACACGTACATGGCTTTATTCTTTTAGCTAAAAGAGCCTAGCTTTAGCATTTTTTATTACATGGCACTTTTAAAATACATTTTACATCTAGGTTTACGAGTAAAATTTATAACATAATTAACCTTGAGTTTTTTGTTCTATATAAATATTAGTTCTAGCGGAAAGTTCTGTCCGAATCTAATACATCATTTTCGTTTATTGCATCTTTGGCTCTAAATTTTTATAACTTGATGTATACATATTGACCTAGAAAATAAACTATATCATATGCAGTTGATTCACATTAGTCATAAGTGTGAAATGACAGTATATCCATAGTGGCTGATAAAGTTCATTTACGAAATGCTACAGAAGCATGTAAAAATTTATCAAAAGTGTTTAGTGAAGGTGCATGTTTTTGTCATGGTACAAAAATTTGAAACAGGTTGTATTCCGGGCGAGCATCTTTGATTGATGACGATGTTGTTAAGGTAATGTTGGAGCAATGCCCTTTTCTAACATCACAAATCGCAGAAAAGCTTAATTCAGCTCAACAAACCATTTCTGATCAAACTCGGAAAAAAGGATTCGTGTGAAAATATTCAAGGTGCGTGACACATAACATAAATCAAATGCACATCTTGCTTGCTCGGAACAAAATTGAGCCCTTTCTGAACTGGATGGTAACTGATTATGAGAATTTGGTTACATACTCGTACAACCTCCGATTATCACATGTTTTTGACCGTACATAAAGTTTGTACGGCCAAAAAATGAAAAATGAAGACGATGTCAAACACAAGGGTTCAATTTTTTGCATCTAAAGATGTAACATTATTTAAAAAGGGGTATACAAATTATCCTTACGCTTGCAGGAAATCATTAATAGACCATTATATTATTCAATAAAGTTAGTTGGCGAAAGAAAAGCAAACGTATTTTGTTTCATTTCACAAACGGATAGAACTTTCCGATAGAGCTAATAAAACTCATAAACAGTTCAAAAAGCTAAATACAAACTTTATCATTCCAGACCGTTGACTAATATGACAAGCCAACAATTGTCGGTGATGATGCGGAGATGCTGATTTATCATATACATCAACGGTCCGGAGTCCAAAGGATTAAATTATGAAAATCCTATAGATAACTTGCCTATGACGGCCAATGCGGCGGCGATTGTAAGAACAATAGCGGCGACCGCTAGAGGTCCTGCCGAGCATCGTATTTCGTATTCGGGCACAGCCGCCAACGCGCGCCCTTGCAGTCGTTCCGGTCCAGAACACAAAGCCCGACTCGCATCTAAAGTCAGGGTGGTGCTGCTGGTATCAGACTGGTGTCTACTACTGGAAGATGCGTTGATCGCACTGCTCTCGATTTGTAACTCATGCGAGCCTGGTTGTGAGAGCTGCCACAGCCACAGAAGTGAGCAATTACAAAGTAAAGGATTGCCCGCAATCTAAAACAATGACAAGTTTTATTTCGATGTCAAATAGATATATCAGTAAATAATATATATATATATATATATATATATATATATATATATATCATAAAATATAATATAAATCGATTCCCATACCTGCAGCCTCTGTAATTTGTCAATCGGAAAATGCGATGCTTCGATCGTTTTCAATCCGCAGTTTCTCACTGAAACTAGTTTTAAATGTGAATTCCCGTGAAACATTCTTGATGGTAAAGTATCTAGTGCAGGATTATCATCAAGCCAAACTTCTTCCAATCTCACATTATCTACAAATGCTCGAGAGTCTATTCTATGCAGCGCCTCCATTTGACTAACTCGCAAATCTCGTAACTGGAACAATGATTGGAAAGCTACTGCTGGAAGAACAGCTATGTGGTTGCCACTAAGAGTTAACCTTGTTAAATTGACTAGTCCTGATAGCTGAACTGTTGGAACAGCTGTCAAATTGTTATTCGCAATATTTAAATCTCTTAGTGCTACAAGTCCCTCGAAAGCAGATTCGTCCAAATTCGAAATAACATTATCTTCAAGAGATAAATGGCGTAAGTTTCTGCACTGATTAAATGCTGATTTCGGTATTGTCTCTAAAAGATTTCCAGAAACAGACAACTTTTCTAGGCTGAGCGTATGTTTTAAATTTGATGTAGGCATATCTAAGAACTGATTATTATCCAAAATTAGTTCTTGCAGGTTAACAAGTGCTATGAACGATTCTGCTTCAAATTTAGCCAAATGATTATCAGCTAAATTGAGTTCTCGAAGCGAACGTAAATCATGGAAGGCAGCGGCGTGCGCTGATTTCAATCGATTTTCAGACAGGTCTAAACGTCTTAAGGAAGTCAAACCACGGAAGACATCTTTGGCTAGATGTTCGATAGCATTATAACTCAAGTTAAGTGTGAGTAGAAGCGTTTGCGCTTCAAAATTTTTTGATCCCAGGACGGATATGGAGTTGTGAGAAATATCTAATGTTTCAAGACGAGCGTAGAACGTGAACATGAAGTGCACGTTAGTGATTTTGTTGCGCGCTAAGTCTATGTCGCGAACATCCGGATTCAGTTGAATCGGAACGACTTCGAGGGCCGCATCAGCGCACGAGGCCCGCAGCAGTGAGTCGTCGCATCTGCACCGCGCCGGGCACATGGCCGCGACCGCAGAGTTCCATGACGACATCAGCGGCCCGACCAGCAGCAGGAGTAGTACCCACATCGGGGAATAATGGCTCGTAACTACGCCCATGACATCAGGTCAATTTTATTCTGAAATCGAGAAAATACAATTATAACTTCGGATCAAATCCTGTCATTGACTTAGAATATAGGAAAAAAATATGTATAGTTAATTTGAAATCAAATAAAAATTGTGCTGTTAAGTAGCATTTGAATAAAAATTAAGAAAAATAGGAATAGCGGGGTTCGAATAGCTGAATAATATTAGAAGTAAGAAGAGAAATATTGGAACTGAGCTGAAATTAAAAGAAGAATAAAGAAAAATATGGAATGAAGCTAGAAGTTAAATAGAATTAGGAATTTGGAAAAAAGAGCAAGAATTGAAGATAATAAGAAGAAGAAAAATAAGAAGAATATAGAATAGGATACATACATGGATTGAAAATGATCAAAATTAGAATGTAAATAAATAAAAATGTTGTAGGTGGCTAAATGCTCAGAGTAAGCGAGGCCAAATAAAAAATTAAAAAAAAACAAAACCGTAATACAATAGCTAAAAATTCAAAGAACTCAAAACTACATTTAATTTAAATAAGCTATGTGAAGTCAAAATTAATTATATTTGTAAATGCTTCACAGCACATATAAATATTATTTTGTAATAATTGAAATATTTTCTTAATTTTCTTTTCTAAATTTGGCACTATAAAATTCTTAATAATACTTAATTCTTAATAATTAAAACTATTGATCTAATTTTAAAGATTTTTTTTCATAAACTATTCTTTCATTGTGTATTATTTTTGGGCGAATATCTAACTATACGTTTACTAAATTTAATAATTTATAATCGAAGTGGGCACATACCTGCCCACATAAGAATGAATAATTAAATTTTTAGTGACAAAAACGTAGGAAGAGCATTAATCGAACTTTTCCATTTCTTTCTATTGTATTTCCAACCATCGAAAGAGATGCTTAATTTTCGTTTATTTTGGTGAATTCAAATTATATTTGCCAAAAGTAATTATAGGTTTCATTGTGATTTGGTCACACGCATATTCAACATTTTTTCCAATTTGGTAAATATTAAATTGTGGCCTTGAAGGCCAATTGATGTATTTGAAATGTGTTCCGACACCCACAGGAGAAATTACATAGATATATAAATATTTGTGCTTTATTAACATATAAATTCATTCATGCGTGATTTTAATATAATACAGTAATAATGCAAAAAGAATTGTATATTAAAGACTGATTTCTTGAATAATTATGAGTATACTTTGAATAAATAATTCAACATCATCATTTGTTTTTCACTTTGAATTAATTTTTGAGAAATTTTGAGTAATCATAATATTCAGTAAGATATTAATTCGACATAAAATAAGAATACGAAGAAAGGTCACATTTGATTCATAAAATTTTATTTTCAATTTATTAGGATTTATTTTTGTCAGATTCATACAATCATTATAGAGGATACGATTGCGTAAAACAATATGAATATTATGCACAATGTATTATTTTCTCGTTCAGTACAGAGCATAAATTTCAGAAAAGCATTATAAGTTATACTCCGCCTATGCGAATGTGTTGTAAACATTTTCATTTGCAATTCATGTTGACTGACTTAGATAAAGATATTTTGAAAACGAGAAAGTTTACACGTCTTAGGATGACTCATTAGAAATTCTTGAAGGATCTTTCCTCTTACCACCTTTCTTGCAGTCACTTTGCTCTTTCTGTCGCGCATCAAGCTGACGTAAAAACTCGTTCATCTTCATTTATAATGCTCACATCTTTTGAATTTAATGGATTTAACAAGTAAAACGACTTCCAACAAACAGACCTTATATAAACCCGTACAGTCGTACATGGGCTAGCATATATATAAAAATTTTATGAAAAAATATGTATTGGCAAAAGATTTTGCACTTACACTTGCAATTAGTGTTTGCATTGTAAAAAGCAAGCAAGTATTGATTATTTTCTGAGAGATATTATCTCAATTTATTTAAAAGAAAATTAAAGAAAAATTCATTACCTTGAGGAAAATATTCTGAAGCATCAGAAATGAATATTTTAATGAAACGATATTAGCGGTAAATATTCTTAGGAAGCACTGTAAATTCATCATACAAATGTTCCACATTTGTCGTAAATTGATATTCAAGCCAATTTAAATTGAATATTTTTTATACCTTTGAAACATATAAAAACATTCGTATTTTGAAAAATTACAATCAACAAAATGTAGTTAAATAATATAAAAAAAGAAAAAAAATGAAATGAGGTAATAAAAATCATAACGATAATACGAGAAGCAATAGAGTATTTGTAAGGATAGTAATTGATGGTATAGGTTTCTCGCGGTATGATAGATCAAAGTTAGATTATCTATCATACCATATAATATAATAGTATAATAGATAATAGTAAAAATATCTATGATAGGTAATATGTATCATATCATTAGATTAAGTCTTATATCGCATTGTAATAAATCTTGAGTACTTTTATATGAGAATAAATACTTGTAGGTGTTAATAAATACAATTAACATCAAAATAAATATGATCAATCTTATTAATGGATGTAAATTATGTTCTCAATGACTCCCTTATACTTCCTTATACTTGTACAATTTAATGTAAATACTAGCTGTATATAATAGAGTTAATCAATGAGAAATCAATATACTAGTTTACGTGTAATCAACGCGAGTTCTTATAGAAATACATCGTATGCTTTTTAAATTTCTGAGATCCGTACAGCCGCTTTTGAGAAAATGTCTAGGAATTGTGAAAAAACGTTCAGAAATCATAAAATTAGGATGTCATATTTTCTGAACTTCTTCGAAAAGTTAGAAAAAAGAAATAGAGTTGATTGAATGTAGAAAAATCAATAATAAAATTAATTTGAACACAATTCAATAGTGATTTCCAAGGATTTATCTTTTATATTTCATCAGAAACAAAATCATTTTTAAATGTCAACTATTTTATGAGAACAACAGCGTTTTTAAAAACGTTAAAGTGAGGCGTGACTCATTAAAGTTGGGAAACACTGGCTTAGAGTATACTTGCAGTGGTGATGCGAATTTTGTGAATGCTACGCTACGACATAGTAAGAAAAAAAAGTTAGGCAAATAAAATAAACAAAATAGACAAAAGAGAAAGAAAATCTTTGAGTAGAGCTATATTCAACTGTTATTTCAAAATCAATTTCTAGTGTGTGGAAAATTTACAACAAAACTGCAGGTGAAATCGAATTGAAGGCGAACGCTGAGGACACGTTATGGTGTCTAGTCGCGTCTCATCTTAATGCGAGCACGACACAAACATATATACTATTATCAAAACTAAAATCCATAAGACGACAGACGATTCCTACCAACCACAGTATAAACTTCAGCACGTGCATAACATGCGTCCTCTGACTCTATAAACTTTACTCAAAAATATAATGTGTCAAAAATAATGCATATTCATGCAACATAATTTGATGCATCTGGGGCCAATATACAATGCAACATTCTGGTGCCAATATACATTTTTTTATTTTTTTATTGATTCATTTTTTAAATAAACTGCTTTGAACAAACAAATCAAACGTTTCGTACATTATAGGTAATAGCCTTGGGTTTTATTTCATTCCCTCATCGCTATGACTTGTGCAAGAGGACGAATCATTAAATATTTAAGGTACATCACTATTCACTCTACAAATAGTCAATCACAACGAGCCATGACAATTTTTTATACAAAGTTTCAGGGACAACGAAAAAGCTAAAAAGGTTAAAAGTAGTATATTTAAACTAAAAAATGACTTGTTTATCTTAAAGATCTTAAAATTAGAATATGCATTATTAAATCGATTTACTCATATACTCAAATTTACAACAACTTTTCTAAATATAAATATTTCTATATATAAAATTTTCTAAATATATTAAATTTCTTTAAATTAATGCATCATTAAATCGATTACTCATATACTCATATTTACAACAACTTTTCTAAATATTGTTTTTATAATAATTGATTAAAATAATATACAAGGCATCACATTTGATCCCTTGTGTTCAAATAATTAGACAAGCTCATGTTTGCATCCTAATTCTTCATTAATTTTACTTTTTTGGCATTATTTAAGGATATGCAAAGAACAATATTAACTAACAATGAGAATATGTATAAATTATAATTTCAAATTTCAAAGGTATTGTTCAAAATATTTTACACCACAGTGCAAAATCTGAGTGAATTTGTGATGTAATAAAAAGACTGCTGAATAAAATTCAGAAATTTGTATAGTAATTTTTTTTTTACTTTGTGATAGAGAGGCAAAAATGATGACTTATCCATAATTGCTTATCATTTGTAGAATTTTTTTCAAATGTTATATATAGAATAATCGGTGTTTGACATATAAAATCAAGTAAATATACAGCATTCCAATACAACTAACCGAATCCGTGTTGTTCCAATTTGACAAAAATAATTTGCAGTATCTGATAAAAAAATATTTTCCAATTTTACAAAAATAACTATAGTATCTGATGCAAATAACTAAAATAAAATAAAATATTCTGTTGGTTGTTATAGAAAATTGAAAATATGGTCAAACCACAAGTTTGTAGTGAAAATCATGTTCCCTGACATGAAAATGAAATTTATGTTTCAATACCAATTTAATCTAAATTTCAAACCATTAAGTTCAAATGCATAGCAATTCAATTATTTTTAAACTAACTAATTGCATCAACAAATAATTGCTGGTTACTTCGTTTTGTGTTTTTACTATCTAGAACAGAAACGGTAGTACCTATAGACAGAGATAAAAATAATTATTATCTCATTTCAATAGTAAGCTTTAAATTAATTTCAAAATAATACATTTAAAATTATTTCAATCATAAGACTTATCAGACGTTCAAAAAAAATTGACACGAGTTGAAATGTCGATCCACTAGGTTGGAAACTAAGTGTGTGCGGATTTTTGTTAGAAAATCAAAGACATTTTTTTCGTGAAACTGAATTACTTAATTCTGAAATGCACAAAGATATGTGATGTCAATAATG